GGGGGGAAAACTACTTTTGTTAGGACAGTGGTCGGCAAACTCATCAGTCCACAGAGCCAAATATCAACAGCACAACGATTGACATTTCTTTGGAGAGCCAAATTTTTAAAACTTAAACTTCTTCTAATGCCACTTCTTCAACATAGACTCGCCCAGGCCGTGGTATTTTGTGGAAGAGCCACACTCAAGGGGCCAAAGAGCCACATGTGGCTCGCGAGCCGCAGTTTGCCGACCACGGGGCTAGGAGACCTCTAATGACTCCATTAAGCTGGAGGTTGAAACTGCTGGCTGGCTACTTTGTGTTCCTCAGGCCGAAGAGCCCACAGGCCAAGAATGGGGTGATGGGCTGGCTGGAGTGATGGTGACTCTGAAGGTGAAGTTCAATCATCACGCACTAGAGGAGGAGGAAGTATGTCTGAGCAGAGGGCATACTGATATTCCCATGTCCCACTCACTGGGCGGGTTAAAACAACGTGATTCTCTTTTTTTTTTTTTTTTAAATTATTATTATGTTTAAATATATTTTATTGTTTTTGTGTTGTTGTGGGTTTTTTTTACACAGAGGAAGAGAGAGGAATAGAGTGTTAGAAACACTGATGAGAGAGAAACACCAATCAGCTGCCTCCTGCACACCCCCTACTGGGGATGTGCCCGCAACCAAGGTACATGCCCTTGACCGGAATCGAACCTGGGACCTTTCAGTCCGCAGATCGACACTCTATCCCAGGGGTCCTCAAACTTTTTAAAATGGGGGCCAGATCACGGTCCCTCAGAGAGCTGGAGGGCCGGACTATATGAACTACTAATTCCTACTGTAATACCTCGGCTGCGCTCACTGCCCAAAAAACCTGGCGGGCCGGATCAGACTCCTCTGCGGGCCGCATGTGGCCCGCAGGCCGTAGTTTGAAGACGCCTGCGAGCCAAACCGGTTTCGGCACAACTTGATTCTCTTACCCCCCGGAAGCTAGACACCCAAGACCCAGAGGTAGCCTTGCTTCTGGAGGCTCTGAGGGAGAATCTGCCTCGTGCCTGGCAGTACCCAGCAACCTTTGCTGTCCTTGGCTTGTCCTGTGCCACCCTGATCTCTGCCCCCCTCATCAGATGGCCTTCCTTCCTTGGTGTGCGGTCCAACTTCTTCCCCTTTAAGGGCACCGGTACCTAGATAAGGGCTCATCTTACTCCAAATACGAACTTCCTTATAACTCCACTCCATCTGCAAAAGTCCCGTTTCCAGGTAAGATCACATTGCTCAGGTCTGGGGTGCACCATTGCAAAAACACCCCTTCTGGCAAGCGCAGCCCAACCTAAAATATCCTTATGTTTCCTGACCTTCAGTTGCAGGATGCTAGAGGGAGAGTGGATCTCAACCCCAAGGGAAATGAAGACCGTCCAAGAGTGGATTAGAGTAACACATGGGGATCCATCCCTTCTCTGGGAGGGAGTGTTGGGAGTGTTTGCAGCTACAGGAGTGATAGTTGGCATCTTATTAGGCGAAAACCTCATTCTCTAATGTCTGTCTGGAAGGTACGCGTGGCCCGCAGGAGTGCAGCTGGATGCCAAGTTGGCAAGGATGGACGGTGGAGCTGTGGCCAGCACAGACCTGGCTAAATCAGGAACCGCATCGTGCGCATGCCCCCTCCTGCCTCTCACTGGGCTGAGGTTGGCCCCCGAGAGATTTGCACGAGGTATCAGAGGCCTGCGTGAAGCAGCGACCACTGCACTCTGACCTGGCCGAAGGCACTCGGGCAGCTGGCACCCCTGTTCACTGACCTGGTGGCTCCCCTTGACTTGGGGCGTCGGCGACTGTGGGTGCAGTTCTTAGAGTTCCTCCCTCAATTTTTTAAAAATATTTTTATTGACTTTTTACGAGAGGAAGAGAGAGGGATAGAGAGTTAGAAACATCGGTGAGAATCAGCTGCCTCTTGCACACCCCCTACTGGGCACGTGCCCACAACCAAGGTACATGCCCTTGCCCGGAATTGAACCCGGGACCTTTCAGTCCTCAGGCTGACGCTCTATCCACTGAGCCACACCGGTTTGGGCTCCTCCCTTAATGTTGCACGTTTTGTACCTGGTCCGTGTGCAGGTCCCTGGCAGAGGGCACAGGGTCTTTCACCAAAGTCACCCACATCGTGGAGGCTGGTGGAAGGCAAACCCCAATCCTAGCTTTTCCTCCTAATGCCATCAGCCTTGCTCTCCTCCCCTTCACGCCGAGCTCTTCCCCATCAGCCCTGCTGATCCCCCCGAGACTTCAGCCATCAGACACGGAGGCGACACGCCTTCTGTTGACCCCTCTGGACCCCAGAAGTAAACCCCATTCTACCTCTCTCAGTGCTCCTGCTTCTGACCAATCAGGAGCCCCAGAAAGCTTGGAATAAGGGCAGGAAGTCTTCTACCCACAGATCTATCCTGGGAACTTCTTCTGATCGCTGTATTATCGCCATCCTTAGTATTCCTTCCACCCTCTCCCTCACCCACATCCATACATAACTGTCTCCAATTAGCACTTGAAAGCAAGTATCCACGCCTCTTTCCTGAGGTCGGCCGTTCCATGTCTGGGGAGTAAAACACAAATGCAGTGTGTTGTGGCTTATTTACAAGAGTCCGCTCACACACAGGGTGACAGCCATGTTCCTGATGGCTCTTCAGGCCAGCTCGCCAGACTTCTTCCCGCCCAGAAGGGCTTGCGAGAGCAATTTACAGGCATCCTATCTCGGTCAGCTTCTGAAGGGTGAGTCAGGTCCTGGTTCTTCACTCTGACATGCTCTTCTGTTTTACTAGAAGCTCTCATTCCCACTTCCCATGTTTGATTGCACTTTCGGAAGGTCGTGTCTCCTCATTTTTCCGTCCACAGAAGATGTGATTGCTGGGCTGGGCGCCTTCCGTTGCCTGGCGCGTGTGTCACCCTCCCTGTCCTCATCTCAAAGTAGCTAGCTCAAGGTCTTCTGTGAAACGCAAGCCCGACATCCTGGCTAGCGTGCGTTGGCTGCAAAGCTATTAACTGTTGAAATCAATTTAGACAGAGAACCTAGGCTGCTGTTGTGTGCGATTCAGACAGCAATGCCTGCCGTATCTTTTTCTCTTTCCTTGTGAGATGTATTATAAATTCCCTCGATTAAGTCATTCTATTCATTCAGCAGGAGACAAGCCTGCTGGGCTCTGAGCATGATGCATGCATTGGTCACAGGTTGGCTTTCTTGGGGAGAGAATACTCCGTGATTTCTCAGCTTCTTGAGGTTCCCAGGTGCCGAGGGAGGCCCAGGGCCTGCGGAGTCAGGTTTCTAGAGCAGTGTCTTGGCTAATCCATATTATTGTCATGAATTGGTTAACATTCCTCATGAAGAAATGGAGGCTAGGTGACTCAGAGCAGGTTAGCAAAAAAAGACCCGAATTCGGGGTCTCTCTCAGAATTCTTGGCATGCTGGCTGGCAGAGTGCTTGTCTCTCAAAATCAGGAAGTTCAAAAACATAAATCATGTTCATATAAGTAAAGAAGAAAACCTGTGATTTCTTTCTCTTTATTTTTTTTAAATATTTTTTATTGACTTCAGAGAGGAAGGGAGAGGGAGAGAGAGAGAGAAACATCAATGATGAGAGAGTCCTTGATTGACTGTCTCCTGCACACACCCCATTCTGGGGATCTAGCCCGCAATCCAGGCATGTGCCCTTGGCCAGAATCGAACCTGGGACCCTTCAGTCTGCAGGCCGACGCTCTACCCACTGAGCCAAACAAGCTAGGGCTGTTTTGGTTTTTAAAAGAAAAAGGAGTCAGGGAATAAGTCTTACATTCTGTCAGAAATTTCACTTTTGGACTTAGAATCAACAATAAAAAAATGCCTCGTAAATCATCCCGTATTTTAAATCACTAATTATAGGTCAACCCCGCTCCTTATATAGGCTCGACCACCAATCCTCAGTCTGAAAACTAGAAAACAGCATGTGAGACTGAATTTCACTTAATGCTTTGTACTCGATGCAAATAATTCAAAACAACTCTCCATTGATGTCTCTTAATGCCCATCTCTACTTTCTCATAGGAGGAAAAGTAAAGTTATTGTAGTAGAAAAGCTATTTTTTTAAATGTCAAAAATATTGTATTATAGTAACATCTGTAAGCAAACACTCACAAAAAAGTATATCAAAAGTAGTCATGTGGAATTGGACACACCAGAATCCTTCAACGAGGTAACTAGTTAGACAAGTGTCGGTTGGCTGTGAGTGTCCCCTAAGGCCAAGTCCCTCTACATATCTATTTTCATAAAACGTAGAAAATATTTTACTTCGTCCCTCCCCTGTTCCCACCCCTCCTCGTCTATGGGTCGGGAATCCATGGGCCATAAGCCCAGGGTGAGCAGGAAGCTGTGTCTGATGAAGCGACCTCAGTTTGCTGGTGAAAGAGCGGGAAATAGGAATTGGCTGTGGTGCACACACCAAGGTCAATGTCACTAAAAATGTCAAATGAGCAAGTGGCGATGGAGGGGATAACCATCAGGAACCCTAAATGGCTGATTGTCACAAGTATTTATCAAGTAGCCTCTGGGGAGATCCTGGGATTCTAACCAACCTAATTGGTCACCAAAGCTCACAGGCTGGTTAGAAACCCCTGTTCCTTAATGTGACGCCACTTGGAGCTCCTCCTACTGGAGAGGCATTGCATGTGCAGGAGGAGATGGTGGAGCTGAGGATAGGGGTGACCCCCTGAGCTATTCTGCTTCCTTGCTGATTCCACACACAACACCCCGAATCCCATTGAGAACAGAGACCATTTCACCTCCTCATCCCTCTTCCCTATGAGAATGTATGTTTATTTCCACTTAATGTGACATGGACCCATTACCAGAGGTAAGAGATGCTTGATCTGGAATTGAGGAAAAGAGGAGGAAGCGAGACACGTCCCAAGATGAGTTTCATTTATATAATGAAAATAAACCTTTACACAAATCAACAGAAACACACCCAGTTGTTTTTTTTGCGAAAAATATTTTTAAATAAATTTTTGTCTTTTTAACATTCTGATATACATATGTAACAAGGTTTATGGCACTGTAACCAGAATCAAATCCCCCCCCCCCAAAAAAAAATTAAAGGAAAAAGGTGGGGAAGGAAAAGTAATCGGTTTCATTTAATTCTCTTTAATCTCTATGCTGGCAAATGTGCACTATTTGCCTAGCATTTGGCTGCCCGCTCTAACTTGCTTGCACACTCCAAACACCCTAGTATTTATTGCACAGTGAAGGCATATGGTAGAATGGTCAGTTCCTTGCTAGTTCAAAAAAAAAAAAATCTCTTAACCCCAGAAAGGGGGAAAATATAATAATTCAGAGTATGAAACACACAAAATCAACAGTATCTTCGTCTCTTTCCAGAACGTGAAGGGTCCTTAGACCACTGACCTGATTGCCCTCAGTCAGGGCTTGGTAGGCTGGGTCTGTTTTCCAGATGAATGGCCCGGCAGATCCAGGCCTTCATAATCCAATATCTTTTCTACTTTCCTTTTTGGTTCTCTTTTTAAATTGGTACAAAGTGGAGTATATTCGGTCTATGAACCTGCACAGACTATATAATCATAAACTCTACAAATAGCTTCAAAGGAAAAGGGGGAGAAATAGTTTTATGTGTTTATTGTTGGCTTGAAAAAAAAAATTCCTTAGCCTCCTTGCTTTATCAGTTCAATGGGCGTCAAACGTTAAATTCTTCTCACACTTGTTAAAAATAAAGATTTTAAACGAGTTTGTTTCCTTTCACAAACCTTTCCCCCAGCTTGAAAAAAAAAAAGAAAAAAAGAAAAGGGAAGAAAAAGGAAAGAAACAATCCGTTTTCCTTTCTCTTTGTCTCCTAACAGAGAACAGTGACACAGTGACCCTGACCCTGACCGTCCTGGCTGGGGTCACACCACCGTCTCCACGCCCATCAGCTTTGGTGTAAGGATTCGCGGTGTCACCCCGTTGTTCAGGTCTTCCTCGAACTCCAGCAGCTGCCCCATGAAGTTGAGGTTTGGGGAGATGATTGGTCGTTTGCCCTTGACGAACTTATAAGCATCAGTCATGGTCATCCGTGTGTGCTTCATCAGGTAGGCGATGACGATGGTGGCCGAGCGGGACACCCCGGCTTGGCAGTGGATCAGGAGCCCCTTCCCGCACTGGTGAGCTTCCTCTGGGAGAGGGAGAATGAATGGCGAGAGGTCAAGGCAAGGACAGGCAAGGACACAAAGAGACGGCAAGTGGGTTAACTTTCCTCTGGCCTTGACCAGGCCATATTGTGTCCAGTCACTGCCATGGAAGAGGAAGAATAACTTAAAATGGTTCTAAACCCAAGCATAATTTACTAGTTCACTGTATATGTATTTGTGACAACCTCCAGGATGATCGAAAAGCAATCGTTGCATAAAAAGCTACATTCCTGCATTTAAAGAGAAGAGCAGGTCCGTCACAGGTGGTGGCATTGACTGATGCAAGAGCCACAACACAGTTCATTTCCATGTTAAGCTAACTACCAAATAGCCCCGCCATCATCAAGGAGTCTTAATTCCAATGGCCAGACTGTGTGACTTGTCAAAACTAGAGTTATTCAAATCTCTCCTGCCTGTGAGATAAAAAAACAAAAACAAAAAACAAAAAACAATTCATTATGCTGTAGAATTGCTCTGGACAGGAACTGGTATTGATAAATAAGAATTTCAGTCTTAAACTCAAACTGAGGTCAAAGGGACAAAAGTCAACTAGGAAGGTCCCATGTTTGGCTTCTTATGGGAAAACCCTGTTGCAACGTTAGGAAAAGACTTGTGGGTCCAGGCATGTGTGTCACCTGCATCTGCACTGTGGAGCCCTCTGCACCCACATGGCAGTGACTGGACCATGGAGGAGTTCCAGCAATGGCTCGGAACCCGGAGCAACTGGGAAAGGCCACCCTTTATATGTTTCAGATACATTCAAGGCCTAAGGGATTCCTCATGACACGTCTAGACTAAAAGGAATCCCCAAGGACGTGTCCCGGAAGGGATACCAGTTAGATGAGGAGCAGAAGATGACAAGAGAGTAAGGAGAGTCGTGATTGAACTTAACAGCTACCAAGAAAAGAAACATCATATCAGGCTTACTGCTCATAGAACAGTTGTCGGCAAACTGCGTCTCACGAGCCACATGCAGCTCTTTGGCCCCTTGAGTGTGGCTCTTCCACAAAAGACCACGACCTGGGCGAGTCTATTTGGAAGAAGTTGCCTTAGAAGAAGTTTAACTTTAAAACATTTGTCTCTCCAAAGAAATTTCCATCGTTGTACTGTTGATATTTGGCTCTGCGGACTAATGAGTTTGCTGACCACTGTCATAGAAGTAGTATTTCAAAACACTATCTCCCCTTTCAGTGTCTTCTTTTTTAGCACATAGTAGGTATCAACCATCACACCACGGCTGGGCTGCGTGGTGGTAAGAAGATGAGCTACCAAGCACTGCTTTGACACTGGTTCCGCTAAGTATCAGGTGAGTGATCTTGAAGCAAAATCCCTGTGACTGAACCCTGAGAATAATGCCTACTCTCCTGTCTCGGGAGGGAACATGGGGATAACATCATCCAACTCAGCAGTCAACTGGCACAAACCCTTCACCTAGCCCAGTGGTCGGCAAGCTCATTAGTCAACAGAGCCAAATATCAACAGGACAACGATTTTTTAAACTTCTCCTAACACCACTTCTTCAAAATAGACTCACCCAGGCCGTGGTATTTTGTGGAAGAGCCACACTCAAGGGGCCAAAGAGCCGCATGTGGCTCGTGAGCCATGGTTTGCCAACCACTGACCTAGACTCTTTAGTTTCTATTGGACTCGCAGTGGGACTCGCAGTGAGTGCTGCTGTGTTTATAAAACTTGCTGTGTTTCTCTACCTAGATCAAGACTACAGGACTCCAGTTCACCCAACGATGCAACAGTGAAAACACAGCCGTGCTAGCAGGCTGGAACATGGAGCTGATTCCAGGTGAAATGCTGTTGTCTATGTGTTCCTTTTCCTTCTACAAAAGTAGGGAAGTGAACACCCTCTGAGGAACACGTAGGTGCTTTGATTGCAGCCCTCTTAGATCAGTGATTCTCAACCTTCCTAATGCCGCCACCCTTTAATACAGCTCCTCATGTTGAGGTGACCCCCAGCCATAACATGATTTTCGCTGCTACTTCGTAAGTGTACATTTATGATTCAGTAACAGTAGCAAAATTAAACATTTGTGTTTCCTGATGGTCTTAGACGACCCTGCTAGCGGTTCAACCTGTGGGTCGCTGTAGAACCTAAGACCATCGGAAAACAGATATTTACATTACGATTCATTGACAGCAGCAAAATTAGTTATGAAGTACTAACTAAAATAATTTTATGGCCGCAACCAGTTTGGCTCAGTGGATAGAGCGTCAGCCTGCAGACTGAAAGGTCCTAGATTCAATTCCGGTCAAGGGCATGTACCTTGGTTGCGGGCACCTCCCCAGTAAAGGGTGTGCAAGAGGCAGCTGATCGATGTTTCTCTATCCCTCTCTCTTCCTCTCTGCAAAAAAAATCAATAAAATATATTTTTTAAAATAAAAAATAATTTTATGGTTGGGCTCACCACAATATGAGGAACTGTATTAGGCATTAGAAAGGTTGAGAACCACTGTCTAGAGAAAGCACATTGCATGCTACTCACTAAAGGAAAACAATTTCCTAACTTCCCTCAACTGGAATGAAGTCAGAAAAAATTGCAGCCGTAACATCATGTACTAACCATGTACCAACCAGAAAGTTCCTCATCCACTTGATGACAACAACTATTTCTCCTCCAGGCTCAGCGCCTGGGTCAGATATTGGTAAGGTCTCCTGGCACCACGTGTTACCAGGCAGGAAAGAACAGAGCACAGTAAACACTGCCCCCCAAGTTCTGGTCCCTCCACTGACACTAAAATTCCCATCACCTTGGACAGTGGTCGGCAAACTCATCAGTCCACAGAGCCAAATACCAACAGTACAACGATTGAAATTTCTTTGGAGAGCCAAATTTTTTAAACTTAAACTTCTTCTAACGCCACTTCTTCCACATAGACTCGCCCAGGCAGTGGCATTTTGTGGAAGAGCCACACTCAAGGGGCCGAAGAGCCGCATGTAGGCTCTAGAGCCGCAGTTTGCCGACCACGGACCTTGGAGAAGTCATTTTACTTTTCTGAGTTCGGTGCCCACACTCAATTCCCTTCCAGGCAGAATATTCCATGGTCCTGCACTGAAGGCACGTCAGAAGGAAAACAGCCTGGCAGTGAGCTGGGCAGGGGCCAGAGCTGTCCACTCTACAGCGACACCACCAGACCCAAGGGCTGTGGAGCCCATTTTCTATTTGAGGGGCACCTGACAGGAGAGCATTCTTCCCAGAAGACAGCCCAGTAAAAAGCTGCCGCCGGAGGAAAAGCACGGAGTCACCGCTTTGTGGGGGAAAAAGGTCAGAGTCACTTGAAAAAGATGCTACGTATCAGCTAGATGCCAGGTGTTCCCCCAAAGATCATTTGAACCTTACAACAGTCTGAGGCTCTAGAACAGTGGTCTCAACCTTTCTGATGCCGTGGCCCTTTAATACAGTTCCTCATGTGGTGACCCCTAACCATAACATTATTATTTTTAAAATATTTTATTCATTTTTTTACGGAGAGGAAGGGAGAGAAAGAGGGACAGAGAGCTAGAAACATCAATGAGAGAGAAACATTGACCAGCTGCTTCCTGCACACACCCCACCGTGGATGTGCCCGCAATGTACATGCCCTTGACTGGAATCGAACCTGGGACCTTTCAGTCCGCAGGCCCATGCTCTGTCCACTGAGCCAAACCAGCTTCGGCCCATAAAATTATTTTTGCTGCTATTTCATAACTGTAATTTTGCTACTGTTATGAATCGTAATGTAAATATCTGTGTTTTCTGATGGTCTTAGGTGACCCTGCTAGAGACGCACATGTTGAGAATCGCTGCTGTAGAGCCCAAGACCACCGGAAAACACATTTACATTATGTAAAATCTCCCCTTTCCATGACCACTGCTTCCCCTAAACATTAGGTGAGTGACCTTGAAGCTCAACCCCTGTGACTGAACCCTGGGAATAACGTTTGATCCACAGGTTGAGAACCACTAGTAGGGTTGCCTCAGACCATCGGAAAACACAGATATTCACATTACGATTCCTAACAGTAGCAAAATTACAGTTATGAAGTAGCAGCGAAAATAATGTTATGGTTGGGGGTCACCACAACATGAGGAACTGTATTAAAGGGTCGCAGCATGAAAAAGGTTGAGAACCACTGATCTAAGAGGACGCGATCAAAGCACCCTACTACTCGTTCCTTGTAGGGTGTTCACTTACCTGCTTTTGTAGAAGGAAAACAAACAAATAGCCAACAGTATTTCACCTGGAATCAGATGTTTACATTACAATTCATAGCAGTAGCAAAACGACAGTTATGAAGTAGCAGCGAAAATAATGTTGGTTGGGGGGTCACCACAACATGAGGAACTGTATTAAAGGGTTGTGGCATTAGGAAGGTTGAGAACCACTGCTATGGAAGCAGCAAAAATTAAAGGTAGAATGAGGGTTATGCTGGCCATCGCTTCCTTTTGGAGATCAAGGCCCGCTGTTGCTAGAATTTTCCTCGGGCTGGACACCTTGATCTTCCTCCTTCAGTGAGGCTGGGGTGAACTGTCTAAGGAAAGCGGGTACCATCTCACCAATGCTCACATTCCCACCCTGTATTTCAGACAAAGCAGGGAGGGGGACAGACACTAGCCCGACCCCGGTCCTCTCTCTTCTCTATGCTGATGTGATGGGGAAAGATGTTCACCGTAGTGTCGCCTTGCCTCACCTTGTAAAGAGCCTCTACCCACTGCAAGTCCACTGGACTCAAGGTAAGGGGGTGCGGGCGAGTTTAGTCACTCAATTTTACTTCCTGCAAGGTGCCAAGGTAGACCAGAAAGCCACAGCACCAACTCTGCCATCCACTGTCTTGCTTCCTACCAATTCTCTTATAGAAATTATATACAAATATAATTTCTATAAAAGAATTGCAACACATCACAGCGCACCCCTCTCCCTGAGAACCTGAGGGATGAGGGTTTCCAGCCAAGTGGAACCCCTGCCCTTTTATCTTCGTCCTGATGGACCCTCCATTCGGTGGGTTCTGACTTAAGAGAACACTCAGCTGCAGAGCCCCAAAGGCACTCTGAGCAGCTCTCCTCTAACACCCCCCCCCCCTCCCCCCCCCCCCCCCCCCCCCCCCCCCCCGGCATTCATCTTGAACTTGACATCACAGCAAACGCCGGAGGGGAAAGGAAGGAGGAAGAGGCGAGCTCCCCGGGGGACGTACTTACCAATGAACTCAAAGGCCTCTTCAAAGTACTGCCGCAGGTTCTGCTTGTTGCTGTCGGTGGCCGGCAGCCGCTTGTAGCTGAAGAGGCCTTTCTCATAGTGGTAGAGGGGCAGGTGCGTGGTGACGTTGATGACGTAGCCGATGTTGAGCCGCTGCATGGCGTCCAGGTCCTGGGCGTCCTGCTCGTTGCCAAGGAAGAGGAAGGGCAGGATGGGCGTCAGCTCGGCGTTCTCGATGTCGGGCGTGGTGGGGATGCACTGAGGTAGCACTGAGGCCGCGGACGCGCCGCCCCCCACCTCCCGGCACTCTTGGAGCTGGAGGGAGTTGTCACAGAGGTTTTCATGGTTCTGCTTAAAGCTGCTGAGGCCACCTGGAAGGCAAGCACAGCGAGAAGGGTGAGCCCCCAGGCCTGCACGCGGGCAGCAGCCACCTTCCCGGTAGGAACCTGCGTGTGCTTTGTTTTTCTAATATGTTTTTATTAATTTTATAGAGAGCGGAAGGGAAGGGAGACATAGAAACATCGATGAGAGGGAAAGATCAACATTGATAGGCTGCCTCCTGCACGCCCCCCACTAATGGGGAACAAGCCCACAACTGGGGCCTGTGCCCTGACGGGGAATCAAACCGGTGACCTCCTGGTTCATGGGTCGATGTTCATCCACTGAGCCACACCGTCCAGCAGGGGCATGTTTTTTGCAGATATATATTTTTTATAAAATAAAATGTAAGCTCTAGCTGGTTTTGCTCAGTGGATAGAGCGTCGGCCTGCAGACTGAAGGGTCCCAGGTTCGATTCCAGTCAAGGGCACATGCTTGGGTTGCAGGCTTGATCCCTAGTGGGGGGCATGCAAGAGGCAGCCAATCAATGATTCCTCTCCTCATTGATGTTCCTCTCTCTCTCTCTCTCTCTCTTTCTCTCTCTCCCTCTGCCTTCCTCTCTGAAATCAACAAAAATAATTTTTTAAAAGTCCCTTTGGAGGCTAGCACCGCACACGGTGTTTCACACAAACTGGGGCATGCTTTTTGGAAGAGGCTCCAGCAGCACTGGGCAGTGCCCGCGGCGGCTAACTGGACCTGCCTCCCGGGCCATGTGCTCCGTGGCCTACATAGATCCCTGCACCTTGGGAGCTGAGGAAGGCACAGCGCGAGGACCTGGGGCGAGGAGCCTCTGCCAGCACCCTGGCACCGCAGGCATGTGACGGCACCCTGTGTAAGCTCACCTCGCCCACCACGGCCACCTCCCTCCCCAGCGCCGTGGTCACCAGCAGAGACCTGGGAAGAACCGTTCACCTTGGCTCTCATCCCAGCCCCACACCTTCCTGAAGCTCATTTCTCTGAGCCTCAGTTCCCTGCCTGCACAGTGAGGGTCATGGCCTCTACCCCTTGGTTAAGGTGACCAGACGTCCCGCTTTTGGCGGGACAGTCCCGATTTTTAACAATCTGTGATTCTTTCCAAAAATCGGGACTTTTTTTTAAAAACGCCGCGGGACAAATCGTTAAAAATCAGGACTGTCCTGCCAAAAGCAGGATGTCTGGTCACCTTACCCTTGGTGTGACTCGGAGCCTGGAATGCATGGATACATGTCAAGTACTTAGCCTGCTGTCTGGCACACGGTCTCACTCGGCAGGGGTTTGTTACGTTTACTGGAGTTATCTCTATGACCCCCCCAAGCAGCAGAGAAAGGCTTGGAAAAGACACCCATACAGGGAGGCGTGAGCGGAGTTTTCCTTACCCCTTTCCTGGTATTTTCCATGGATTTCACTGACTGTTTTCAATCCCGATTTCCAGGAGGAGGCAGCGTGGAGCAGCCCAGATCCTTGCACCCACTTCTCCATCAGGAAACCTCTAACAAGCATGTCAAACTCACGGCCCACCACCAATGTTTTTGTGGCCCAGCCAATATCACGGTATGTAAGAAACATTTTAATTTCGTAACTTAATTCTTAATATATCCTTATTTGTAATTATTAATATCAAACTACAATGTTCGCTAATGACTGGTTACTAGAGTTGTGCAGCATTCATTTCCCTTAGCGCCTTACCCGCAGGCGCACCATTTCTCTCCACTAATACCAGCAGCGAATATTGTAGCAGCCGATGGCCACGGCATTCATCTTGGACTAACTTGTTTGGTGAGTACAACGGGAAATATTTAGCTTTTGGAGGACAGGAAAAATAGATTTGCATTACTTATTAATTTGTGCAGTTATTTAGTATATCTGGTAAGTTAATGTTCAAGAAAAAATATTAGTTTCTATTAAAATGTTCTATTTTATGTTAACGATGACTCATTTATTTCAGCCTGTTGTATTCAGCATGTCTCTATAGAAATAAACCTACATTTTAATGAAAATTGAAGCTTTTGTTTTCTCGCAGCCCGCTTAAACCTTGTCTATTTGGCCTGTGTTAGCCTTTGAATTTGACATGCTTGAGGCACACCTTTGACATAGCTCAGTGGTCAGCAAACCAGGGCTCTTGAGCCACATGCGGCTCTTTGGCCCCTTGAGTGTGGCTCTTCCACAAAATACCACGGCCTGAGGAAGTCTGTTTTGAAGAAGTAGCATTAGAAGAAGTTTAAGTTTAAAAAATTTGGCTCTGTTAACTGAGTTTGCCGACCACTGAGCTAGCTTCAGGCTCTGTTCTGCCTCCTAAATGCTACGGGTCCCATGTAAAAAGCTGAAAACAGTACCAGTTTTCTCATTTTTAGAATGCAGGCCTGTCCCTCCACCGAAGGAGCATTACCCGTTATATCTGAGGGAAATCAGCTGGATGTGTAAGATGTTGTCTATTGCATCGTCTGTTTTATAAAAAGGCTAAGTTTAAAAACAATTTTAAGGGGATCAGAGTTAATATAGTCACCCACTGACAGGCTATGTAGCACTCTAGGTTATGAAAAAATAGGAAAACAAAGAGAATGTTTGATATTAAATGGGAAAAAAAAGGCAGTTAAAAAACATCCACCGCACAAGGTGATCAAAAGTTGAAAGATTATGCAAAAAAAGAGCAGTTAAGTTAGGAAATTTATGGATTGTAGTTGCTTAGTTTCCTTTCATATTTGTTAGTTGCATCACACACATGGTAAGCCGGAAAGGTTATACAGGTGAGAGCTAGGCAAGAGCTAGGCAACCAGACATTATCAGCCCAGTCAGCTCCGATTCACATCAAACAGGAAGCAGTTGGAGGTCTCCCGTAGCCAAAAGCGACCAAAACACAGCCTTTCCCCCCTCGGCGGGGGCTTGACAGCAGCCTCCGTGGTCTCCGGAGGTAAGACCGGAAGCGGGCGCGAGAACAGGATGTGGCTGTGGTGACACAAGGACAGGAAGTCTGTCCCCAGGTCCCTGAGCCTCGCCTGTGCCCTTCAGGTCTCATCTTTAGCAACCGCAGCAGGAAGCTCCAGACTGTAAACTAGATAGATACCCAGTGTCGGGGCTGCTGACAGCAGCCAGCGCATGTGGACTTGGCCATGCACACCAGGGAGGTCATATGTTCAGGTCTGGCCATGGCCCCAAGCACCTGCCAAGGAGTACTATGAGGTTTGAGCCTTATAGAGTAAAGTAATCCTAGCTCTTCTTTTTGCAAAGAAAAGCAAGAGCTAGCCCTTCGTTTTAATTGTTAGAATTAAATGCTGCCCTTACATATCATTAGTGTATTCTGCTAGGACAGTGGTCGGCAAACCGCGGCTCTTGAGCCACATGCAGCTCTTCGGCCCCTTAAGTGTGGCTCTTCCACAAAATACCACAGCCTGGGCGAGTCTATGTTGAAGAAGTGGCGTTAGAGGGAGTTTAAGCTTCAAAAATGTGGCTCTCCAAAGAAATTTAAGTCGTTTTACTGTTGATATTTGGCTCTGTGGACTAATGAGTTTGCCGACCACTGGGCTAGGAAATCATGGGGGGAAAAGTTTATCTGGGCTCAAATCAATTTTAAAGTAGACAGAAGAAATGGAAAAACCCGAAAAGCTTCACTAGTGAAAACATTTAAAGACGTGAAATGACCCACTGCCCACAAAAGAGACAGAAAGGTTATTAAAACCTGCTCAGCTGTGACCCCTACGAAGTCCAGGCAGACAGTTCCACCCTGATCCCGGGATGGGAACCTCATTCACTTATTTTTTCCCCCAAAGAAAAAGGCAGTTGCTACACTTTTCCACAAACAATGAGAGGAAAGAACAACTGAGATGAATTCAAAAGAAGTTTCTAAGGGGCTAGAGGGAGAAAACAAGATCTCTCTCAACTTACGTAGGGTACTCGAGCTGTAATTTGTCTCAAAAGCGGCCGGTTTAAAAAAAAAAAAAAAATGCCCAGCAGAAAACCCCCCACGCGGAAGAAAGCGGGGAGCTCTTTAAAATTCTGTCTCTGCACCTCCTTTCCCGATGACATCAGCTGGGGGCTCCCACCTGCCCAGTTGCCATAGCAGTCACACAAAGACACACAATGACATCAGCTGGCATGATGTCAACTCTTTGAGCGCAAACAATACAAGAAGAAGGACTTTGTCTGAGGCCTTTGCTGCAACTGCGGTCCGGGAGGCAGTGATGTAATATGCTAACAGGTGGCATGGGCCTTCCATGTGCCTAATGGGGGGGGGGGGGGGCCGGGGGGGGAGGGGGGAGAGGATTCGAGACAGACAGACAGACACAGAAAGATCCAAATTGCGGGGGGGCTCACGCGCAAAATGCTGGGCCTGTTGTATAAGCCATGTCGGAGAGCATTGGAGACGGAGTGGACAGAAAAGGGAAGAGTGAGTTCACACGTATTCGCTGCAGAAGAGAATTCTCACTTGAAGGGAGGGGAGAAACTGTCTCCAGTCCGAGTGCCCCTTGGGCAAGAGCTCCCGGGAAGGGCAGTGCCCAGCAGACAGTGCGGGAGCCCTGTCCCTGAGATGGTGCTCAGAGCAAAAGGAACCAGTGGGGTGTTCTGTGGAGCGATGTCTGGGGGTACAAGAGTGGGATTAGAGGCAGGAGGAGGGGGAGAGGAGTGAGGCTAATGAGGTTTTCTCTTCCAAACCCTGTCCCCTACCAGACCCCATCCTATCCCCTGGGGCCCTGGTCGGCAAACTGCGGCTTGTGAGCCACATGGAGCTCCTTGGCCCCTTGAGTGTGGCTCTTCCACAAAATACCACGGCCTGGGCGAGTCTATTTTGAAGAAGTGGCATAGAAGAACTTTAAGTTTAAAAAATGTGGCTATCCAAAGAAATTTCAGTCGTGGTCCTGTTGGCTCTGTGGACTGATGAGTTTGCCGACCACTGTCCTAGGGGCCCAGCTGACCGCCCCCGTTCTGCGAAGCTGTGATGATTTCATACCCAGCGAGGAGCTGGGCTATTTCATACCTGTTCTTGCTAAATGAGAACATGGCAACAAGATGAGCCGCCCTG